GAACATGTAACGGAACTGCATGTCTTTACTGGGCAGTTTTAGACCCCCTGATCTTACTGTGTCTGATAAAGCTTCTCACTTAGTGCTGTATTATTGCAGTTTGTAACATTATCATTGCACAGAAAATTTCCCGAGTAATGATCCCTTTTGGCTATTTTTTTGCCTAGGTACATCAAAGTGGTTCAGGGTGGTCACCTGTGGTAAGAATTCATATATGTTTGACTTTAACAACTTTCGAACAGTTTATGCTCTTCAGGAACTAATAGATATAAGTCAGTGTTGGATTTGTCATAATAGCCTCAAACTGTGAGAGAATATTGGGATAGGATGTGGCCTGAAAAGTCCGCTGACATTTTGTGACAGAACAGTGGATTGTAATCCAGCTAACACATTAAGAGAATGTATGGTTTTATGCAAAGAAAAGTCTTAGTTTGTCTTTTTGTTGTCTGTTGGGGCTAATATCTGAATTCCTTCTAAGAAATTGAAAACTCATAATTAGTCAGCAAAGAACGTTAAAAAAACCCTTTACAGTCACCTCAGTGAGTTGTATACCTGAGCCTGTGATGCAGTAATGTGATACTGGTCAGCTAATACCTTATTACAGCTGTCAATTGACCATAACAGGGATGTCCAATATCAAGTGAAACACAGCTTCGCCTTGTGAGTGTGACATTTCACATACGCTAACATGAATGGTTGGACGTACAAATGGATGGATTTTGTGACAACCAAAATTTCTTGGATGCATAGATAACCAGATTTTATTGCCGATGGTGCCCTACTGCACACGCTTTGTGCACCTGAGAGCTCTGCTATTATGGCTTACGGGGCTTTCCAAAAGTCAGAACTGGCCGCCCAGACCATTACCAGACAAGTCTTTTTGACAATGAAACAGGCTTTTTCAAAGAGTTTTTGCTGAAAAACCATCTCCTTCATGCATACTATTTTAGGATTTGACTGATGTGTCTGGATAGTTTTGTGAAATTCTCATTAAGGTGGGAATGGTCTGGCTGGTCAGTTCTGACAAATGGAAAGCACCCTTAGTTACTCTCTTCCTATTTTCCTTAGTATGTTGAGGACAATCTTGGTGTGATGTCTGTGGGTTTCTTGTTAGCCAGTCCTAGTGATGCTGTCATTTGGAGAGGACCAAAGAAAAATGGTAAGAGACATCTTATTTGTTGTAGTGACTTGATTAAGGCCATCCAGGCAAGTATTTTAAACAAATCAATTGTTGACTAACAAAGATTTTTAACTTAGTGTTATTTAAAAATCTATTAAAATTCAGTTGTAAATTTTCTTGTGATCTGGATTGCTGGGATTTGGCAGGATGGGTCCAAAAAAATTTTGGCCGAGCAGTTTTAACTTTCTGGCCATGTGCAATCAATAAAATGATGTTGATTTCCACAGCAGATTACTGACCAACAAATTTCGATTCGTGTTGAACGAGTGAGTGATGAAAAGTCCAAAGGAACAAAAATTTCTTGCCTCCATATTGATTATTTCATGTGCTGTTATTTACCTCTGTTCGTAACTTTCTGCTGCCTGCTTTGTAAAATCAATAAGCCAACACTGTAGCTTGCTTCCTATCTTGTTTGACAAAAAAATTTGGTTGTGTAAAATCTACTTTTGATCATTGTTGTTAATGAAAAACCTGCCAGTGGTTGGGTTTTTGAATTTATTCATGATTGAAAGGTACATTAATATTGAAATGCACGAACTAATATAAATGAATTTATCATAAGTAAACTCAGTCCTAGCAGCCCAAACTTCTTTTGTTTTCTTAAGATGATCTGCCCATTAAATAAAAAGGAGTGAAAAACAGCTTGAGTATAATTCGTTCCAGATTTTTTAGTTAAGCATTAGTAGGAGGGCCCATGTGGGATACTAATATTTTAGGGCTATGCTCTAAGAAAAGTGAGTGAAAATCAGTGGTGCCTTGCATATGATTTCTGTACATAAACTGAGATTTTATGGTCTTTTGTCACTCAAGAGCAATAGCAAGTCACCAAGGGCCACCAGGGCACTGCCAGAGCACAACTCTGTAATTTTCATGGTTTGCCCAGGAAAAAGGAAGTTTGCTTTTTGTCCATATTGTAGGTTTAATCAAGCAGTTTTTACGTGATGTTGACTGGGGTGATGTAGACTATCTTGTTGTGGACACACCACCTGGAACATCTGATGAGCACCTGTCAGTTGTTCAGTACTTGAGTAATACTCATGTAGATGGAGCCATTATCATTACCACACCACAGGTAAGAATCGAAGAAAATCACTGACAATGTGCAAAATAAACTGTTCATCTTCAAAAACAAAAAATTGTAAATTGTAAATTGCTTGTTTACCCACGAAGCACATAGGAGTTCATATGAACTCGTTGAAACGTGTCCGTGCGTTCCAGATCGAATTGGAATTTGGAAGTGTTGGTTTTTGAGGAGAGGGGAAAACCGGAGTAGCCGGAGACGGGATGGGATTCTAGTCCATCGCAGGGTTACCCCCCAGCAGTATGTCGCCGGTACCCAATTATAAACCTGGGTGAAGAAAGACAAAATGGAGTAAAGTTCTTGTCTAAGGAAACAACGCGACGGGCGAGGCTTAAACCCCGGACCTCCAGATCCGGAGTTGGAGGTGTTAACCACTCGGCCACACTCGCCTCCACAAAAAATTTCAAGGGCTTCAGTATTATTTTCCCGAAACTTTTAGATGCAATTTAACGTATTACGAAAATGAGAATTTTTCTGATTCCTCTCTCCATCACATTTTTGAGTCCGAAAATTTTAGGTCTTCTTTTTTCTACGAAAAATAGCCTAGCCCAGGGAGTGAAATTTGAAAAATTAAACTTCAGAAAATCGTAGGGAATTTATAAGATGAGCTTCAAAAATTGTCGATGAATAGAACGGTCATGGAGACATTTTTAGCCATCCTAAAGAAGACGGATAGAACGTGTTGGACGATCCCAACTCGTTCAGACGAACTTAACTGCGCCAGACGTCGAACTTTTCTATGAACTTAATTCTCTAAGTTTGGTTCGTCTCGTGGAAAGTTCGACGTTTAGCCTAGGCCATAGATCGTCCAACACGTTCTATGCAGCTAGATCTGCTTCAGACAAATAACGTCTGAAGAACGTTCTAGAAGGAGAGCATTCGCATGTTATTGCAGTAACCTCAGGTATACCCTAAAATCAGTGCTGGGGCCGTTAATATTTCTTATTTTATTAATGATCTCCCATGCTATGTTAAGTCAAGGGTCCTTCTTTTTGCCGATGACACCGTCATCAAAAAGACTTAAGTGGTAAATAAATAAATAAATAAATAAATAAGATAGTCTCCGGGACAAACGTCGAACTTCACATGCGACGAACTAAACTAATAATTTAAATAAATTTAATAATTTTAAAAATTTGTTTATCTAGGCTCGTTCGGGAGAAAACTTATTGAAATTGCTTTTTGGTCTGATTTAGTTGATTCGGAGTTGATTGGTTCAACGCGTTCTAAGGTCGACGTCTGACCCAACAGACGATCTTAACTTAATTCAGGTCGACCCACATTAGAGTTTGGCTCGTTCCTTGAAAAGTTCGACGTTTGGCCTAGGCCTAAGAGTTTGAATTTCCACTGTAAACTAAAAGGAGTAAAACTCGAAATTGCAAACTTGTAAATAGTATTTCAAAATGGATCTAAAGCAAAAGAAGAGGTATATAGATAAGACAATAGAGGGTTAACTTTTTTCCCTAATCGTCCTAGCTGGGGTTTCTTAAAAATGCAAGAGCGTACCCAAAGTCTGCATCCCCTGTGCTTGCACAGGCACACCAGAATAGACCCTGCTGGAATGAAGGGCAAGTTTGACTGTCCTTATTAATTAACCGAGTAGATTCTAATATGCACATATGCTTCAATTCAGTACACTAAGTCTTCCATTAAACGAACACTGTAACATAAAAAATGTTTTAAAATGCGTCACCTTACGCGGAGTTCATTGAACGTCAGTACGAAGTTCTTTGGCTCGCACAGTGGCGGCATCTACCGCTCTCATCAAAGCTGCTCTTACTCCACGTTCTTCCAGAGCGTTAATACCTTCAATAGTAGAACCGCCAGCAGCACACACACTGTCTTTAAGCTCTCCGAGGTGTTTTTGACTTTTCAAAGCCAACTGAGCAGCTCCAGAGGCCGTATGTGCTACTAATCGCACTGCTTCCTCGCGTGTTAATCCGCCACGCACTGCGCCGTCCGCGAGGGCGTCCAGGACGAGGTACACGTACGCGGGACCGCCGCCGGTCAGTGCTGTTATTAAATCCATTAAGCGCTCATCTACTGTGTGGCAGTATCCAACTTTGGACATTAGTTGATGGACGACTTTTCGGTCTTCGTCGCACGTAAACTTTCCGTAGGAAACAGTTGTAACTCCCTCACAAATTTGCACCGCGGAATTCAACATCATGCGGACTACTTTGGTATGACCAGGCAAGGAATTCTGCATGTAATTGAGCGTGACTCCAGCGGCGATGGACATAAGTAGATGATTTGAAGTCACTACAGGAGAAATGTCCTTGAAAACGTTTGAGAGTGCACTTGTTGGAGTAGCAAGGAATACATAGTTGCATTCCTTTAAAACTAACTGGTTATCATCAGTCACAGCACAGGCCATGTTGCGAAATTGATTCAAGTCATCCTGTGTACGAGAACTGGCAATAACTTGGTTTGCTTTGACTGTTCCTGCAGACAAAAGTGCTTTGGCGATGTACTGTGCTACTTTTCCCGCGCCGATAAAACCTAACGGTGAGATCAAACTCATCTTTAGGTGACCTGTGTGAAGCGTTGTGTGGAGAGATAAGTACGCCAGGTCTATTATCCAGACTCTATTTCTGCCCTTTCTTCGCCCCGCGCCTGATAAAGGTTAAATCTAATTAGCGTCAAAGGTTTCAATAAGCAATGGACCGTGAAACTTGAAGGCCCTGAACCTTGAAAAGTTTCACGGTTCAGAGACTAATCTGACGGTGAAATCCAGGTGAAAATCAAACTCATTCTTGGCACTTGTAGCTACTTGTTTTTTCTGCTTAAAGAACTTGTAGCCCATGAAGATCAAAAGCCTCCAAAGAATATCTAATCATATTTAATTGACCACTACATAAAATACCATAACATACCATAATGCTCTGTGTTTTTCACCCCAAAATTTTGCATAAGCATTGTTTGCAGTTTCTCTTCGGGCCATTTTAACTCCCAAGAGAAACTGAAGACAATGCTTATGCAAAATTTTGGGGTGACAAACAAAGAGCATTATGGTATGTTATGGTATTGTAAGGCCGATACACACGAGGGATTTTGCTCCGGGAGCAAAGTTCCTCCGTGTGTACCAACGATTTCATGGGTATACTTCATCCTCGGGAGCAGAATTTCCACCCCTCAAAATGCTCCACGATATTTAACCGGTTAAATATTTGGGAGTAAACTCCCGGGGCAAATTGAGCGAACTTGAAAACGCTCCCTCGTGTGTACTGACACGTGCAAAATGAGCCCGGAGCATGCTCCGGGAGCAAAACCCCTCGTGTGTATCGGCCTTTATGTATTGGTTAATAGCTCTATTGACTCTGTTGTATGTTAATAATATTGTCTTATTTATAGATGGTGCTTCGTTAACGTCTTTCTGACTGGAAAAAAGCGCTCTTTTACAAGATAATCATTCTAGCCGCCGGTCGAATAATTATTTCGCAAAAATAGCGCTATAAAACAGCCCGGAACAATGAAAAAACACGACACCTGACTAAGTTAACATTTCGTTAGCACTTTTATTGGAACATGTTTTTTCAAAGCTGTGTTTTGGAGCAAATTGTAGCCGCCGTATTGTTCATCTGTATCTGTTTTTCTCTTATAAAGCACAAAAGATCTATGCTCAGATGTCTAAAGAGAAACGGTCACGGGAACAGAGAGTGGTCTGCCTGTGTTGGGCGACCCTCTAGGTTTTTGAGGAAGCAGAGTATCTAGCCGAGCCCATTTTTGAAAGTCTGAAGTAACAGGGCTTTAAAGAAACTTGAATGCCAGCTTGTCCTTTGAGCAAGCACCTCTCGCATTTCCTTGGCCGGGGCCACCTCTTGCTTGTCTTAGTTAATGACTTTGTTAGAGGATGACTTGACCCTTGCCTATTTGGCAAGTAAGCTTTAAAAGTTACCGATTCAGCAAGAAAATCAACTTGCCCCGGACTAACAGACGGAAGTTTTTTCCAGCCCTAAAGTAAGTTAGCAAGCAAGCAAGCATGTATAGTTCACGAAATCGACTGGCATGACAATAGAAAGTAATTGACATGTTTGTCTCCATTGTCTGGTCAATGATCGTTGAAGCGAACAGTTCTTAATGACTGAATGCTCATCGCTGTTAAATATTTACTACGCCTGATTTCTGTAACGGTTTACAACACTTTCGGAAGCCGTCTTCGTCAAACGATCACATACACGGCGGAAGTCGCCAGGGGCAAATGTTTTTGTTCATTTTAGCGATCGTAGGCGTGCCATGTTTGCTTGACTCGATTTACTGCGAAAATGGCGCCAAGTTATGTCTGCGGCGCTACGCTCAACAATTTATTGGCATTTCCATGTGAGTAAGTGGCATTGCTTATGACAATATTAATTAAAATATTAAAAAGTAGTAACATCAGTAATATAAAAATTTTCGCGCCTAAAAAAGAGCGCGTATCGCATGTTCTCGCGGGAGGGGATTCCTCGTGCCCTCGCACGTGTTAGTCGCTCCACTACAGGGGCTCCAAGAATGTACAAGAGGAGTCCTCCTGTTGAACGGTCATAGTGTCCACTTTTCAAACATAGGCGTGCTAAAGACAGGCTCCAATCTCGCTAACAAACGCCTAAAACCCGCAAACGAGTACAGCACGGTTCAGTTCGTCACACATTCTTCCTGCGCTGGTCTCATCGTCTTTCATATTTCTCTGCTTTCTTCGTTTTGTTGCACAGATTATCCTACTCAATCTTTTCCATTCGTTTTTATGTGTCATTCAACAGTTGATTTCCAAGCATTCAGGACACGGGAACCGTTCAAAGCGTTTTTACAAGCGTTATTGGAACAGATCTTGGGTCCGCTGCCTAAGAGCAAGTTCCATGAACCATTTCACAAAATAGATGTTGTTTCACGATCTTTTATTAGAGACTTTTTTAGTCTAAACTGACGACTAGACTACGAGGACGAGATTTTCTCAATACTAAGAAGCGAGCGAGTAGCGCTATCGTTATTAGGAACTTTAAGATTCAACGACGCGGACAGCAACGAGAACGTCAAAAAACAATAGGTTTTATAGGCAAAACAACAACTCTGCACGTGCATCACGCTTTTTTGTACCTTTCTTAGCCCGTTTTTGCACGAGTACGACGTGAAAATGCATAATTTCGCGTTTTTTGGAGGACGTAAACAAGCAACGACAAAATTTTATTTCTCTTTCTGAACTTGGATGTGGTCCCAAAGAATTCAACTCCAGTAGGGTTCGCCTACATTTGACAAATTATGTGGGTAGGAATAAACGCAAATTCACTTTTTAAGCGACGTTCTCATTGCCGTCGCGTCGTTGAATCTTGAAGTCCCTATTGGCGGGAAAACGTGAAAGCCGTCATCATTCAACGCGTTTTGGCGAGAAATGTTAGAAGTTTTATCATTTTACGATCAGGAGAGGGCTTTACTAGGTTAACATTCTTCAATAAAAATAATCGTGCTAACTTTCTGGTGTAAAAAAAAAAAAGTACGATAGAGCTTTTCGGGTTGTGTATTTTTTGAGAATACGCGTGCTCGTCCTGGAATCTACAGGTGCCTTTAATCCGTTCTGGCAGACGTGTTCTACCTTTAACTTCTGCATACTTCAATACGCTTTCGTTACTAAAAAAAATGATCCCATTTGTTCAAGATGAGAAAGTAACAGAGCTTCAAGTACAGTATAGTCTGTCAAGTATAAGTCACCTTGAATATTGGAGAAATTTATCTATCTTTTATTAACCTTTATTTGCTGCCTAGTGAAATTCCCTTGCGACATGCACTGACTGGTGCTGGCTCTCTCTTAAGAAAATCATTGATTGAACGATTGTTATTATTTTGTATTTAAAGGAAGTGTCACTACTTGATGTGCGTAAAGAAATCAACTTTTGCAAGAAAGTAAAGATGCCAGTTATCGGAGTTGTGGAAAATATGAGTGGTTTCGTTTGCCCCAAGTGCAAGGTATGTGTTTTAAACACTCAGCAATTTAATAACTACCATGGGACAGATTTTTTAGACCAAAGCTGGTTCACGAGGATGCCTTATTTTGAGGCCTCGTCGACGCGCCCACACGTATTGTATTCGAAACGTTTTCGCCAGTCCACGCGAAAACTCTTAAACGATGGAAATACGATAGCATGCGTTTTGTGATTTATGAGATCATCGTATTCGAAAACCTCCGTTTTCGTCCGTACGCACGAAAACGGAAGAGCCGGCATTTTCAAAAATATCCTCTGACTCCGGAGGGCGTTTTGAACAGGTGTCTTTTCGGTGACCGTTTTCAGCGGATACGCGTGGACGTTAGGCCAAAACGTAGAAAAACTCTCCGTTTTCAAACAATAACGGATAGGCATTGACGGGGCCGTGGAGACAGTAGGGACAGATTTTGTGTACCAAAGCTAGTTAACGAAGATCAGTTATTCTTGAGTCTCTTTACAATGAACAGTTAGCGTTCAAAATTAAAATGAAGAACGGCGAATGGGAAACAGGAAGCGGGGAACGGGAAATTGAAGAATTGTAACAAAGCAGAGAATTGGAAAAGAAGATATTGGTGGGGCATCCAGTGAGGTTTTTGACGTACCGTCGCCGTCCTCGTTTCTTTTGCTCCCCGTAAGCACTGGTCTAAAGTACGGAGTTTATAATCCACATCAAAATTATCTCTCCGGGCCGGAGGCAAACAAGCCGAATATTTATAAGCATTAGTGAGAAGCTGAACTCGAAACTATTTCACGCTGTTCCTATGCAGCAATTAGTTTGAGCAACTTTTAATGTAACAATTGAGGACTACATGCTTCTACGAGAACAGTGAAGGTTAGTTTTAAAAGAATTGAAGGATGCTGCCTGTTTGCTAAAATTTGATAACTTGTGTTAACTTTTTTTGATACAGAAAGAATCACAGATCTTTCCACCGACAACAGGGGGAGCAGAGAAAATGGCATCAGATATGGAAGTTCCTTTTCTGGGCAAATTACCTCTTGATCCTCGGATAGGCCGCTGCTGTGACGAAGGAAAGTCATTTCTAACCGAAGTTCCAGATTCGCCGGCTGCCGATGCGTACAAAAAAATCATTCAAAGTACGTTGCTTTCATGTACTCGGCCATCGTTATGTTTTAAATTTAAGATTGTACTGAATACTACGCTAGCCTGCGAAGACAGACGTATTTCCGGTCGTCGCTTCTCTCCACCCCAAAAGTGATAAAGCGACAACCGGAAATACAGTTGAACCTCTCCATAACGGTCGCCTTGGGGTTAGAAGAAAATGGCCTTTGTAGAGAGGTGACCGTTGTAGAGAGGCTTAAAGAAGATTCAATGTATGGACGATACGCCAGAAAGTGGCCGTTGCAGAGAGGTGGTCGCTGTGGAGAGGTGGCCATTGTAGAGAGGTGGCCGTTGCATCGAGGTGGCCGCTGTGAAGAGGTGGCCGTTGTAGACAGGTGGCCGCTGTGGAGAAGTCGCCATTGTAGAGAGGTGGCCGCCGTGGCGAGGTGGCTGTTGTAGAGAAGTGGCCGCCGTGGCAGGGTGGCCATTGTAGAGAGGTGGCCGCTGTGGAGAGGTGGCCACTGTGGAGAGGTGGCCGCTATAGAGAAGTGGCCGCTGTGTAGAGGTGGCCACTGTGGAGAGGTGGCTGCTGTAGAGAGGTGGCCGCTGTGGAGAGATGGCTGCTGTAGAGAGGTGGCGGCTGTGGAGAGGTGGCCACTGTGAAGAGGTGGCCATTGTAGAGAGGTGGCCGCTGTGAAGAGGTGGCCATTGTAGAGAGGTGGCCGCTGTGAAGAGGTGGCCATTGTAGAGAGGTGGCCATTGTTGAGAGCTGGCCGCTGTGGAGAGGTGGCCGTTGTAGAGAGGTGGCCGCTGTGGAGAGGTGGCCGCTGTAGAGAGGTGGCCGCTGTGGAGAGGTGGCCTCTGTGAAGAGGTGGCCATTGTAGAGAGGTGGCCGCTGTGAAGAGGTGGCCATTGTAGAGAGGTGGACGTTGTAGAGAGGTGGCTGCTGTGGAGAGGTGGCCGCTGTGGAGAGGTGGCTGCTGTGGAGAGGTGGCCGCTGTGAAGAGGTGGCCATTGTAGAGAGGTGGACGTTTCTAGAGAGGTGGCCATTGTAGAGAGCTGGCCGCTGTGAGGAGGTGGCCGTTAGTGGAGGTTCGACTAAACATCTGCAGACGCGCGTTGTGATTGGTTGTTGCCTATGATCTGTCACACAACAGACACGACTTAATAGCGTCACGGAACTTTCTCATTTTTTTGTCCAACATCTGCATGGTGAAAAGTTTGGAAGATGATTACGGTGTTATTCCAGATTGAACGAGCGAAGGCTCTGAAAAAGTTTAGAAAAAGCTATTTAAAAGTGAGAAGACGAAACGGAGAGGAAACTTTTGGAGACATAGATTCCATTTTCCCGCGTGTCTATTGAAAATGTGGCAAGAACATTATTGACTAATTCGAAGAATCTCAGGACTTACCTCCGCTTCGTCGCTGTTTTGGAGTGAAACAAAGTGGTATTACATTGTTATACCGAGACGATTGTGCTGAAGTATGATTGATATATAACTGATTTATTATTGAAAAGACATACGGTAAAATGGAATCACTCGCGTAGAACAGTTCCAACAAATTATATAGATCATTCCTATATATATTTAAAACAATAATAGTAATAATGCCAACAGGTCTTATAACGTTAAAAATACTAAAGGCGTTCTACATTACTAAGCCAAATTAAAGCATAAGCTAGTCTATTGTGCGTGCCTTAGTTTTTTGCTCTGTTTATTCCGCGACCAAGGAGTCACAAGTACCTGTAAAAAATGCCATGATTTTCTGTTCATGAATATATTACTTTGTTTCTTTTTTACCTAGGAATTTTAGACTACTGTGCCGACAAACATGATGATGAATAATTTGTGAAAGCCGTAAAAGAATGGTTGTTTCAGAGCCAGCTGGCAAAGAAAATCAGTTCATTTTTGTGCGACCCAAGGAGACTGGTTGGTTGTTGCTAATAAGCCATTTCTCGAGTTCCAAAAACTCTGACTTTTAAACGAGGCCAATTGCAAAACCTTTCGTGTGAAAACGAGCTTTATTTATGCATGAAAATGAAAACTCATTTTCATATCAGTAGCTTCGCACTTAGCCTCGGTTTGAAACTCGGTTCGGGCAACTCGAAAATGGCCTGTTGAAGCTTTTTGTGAATCATGGAGTAAATATGATGGAGTTTACTATTAACTATGCTTGAATGTGACTTGGAATTTGACGCCGGGATTTGACCACCACCAGGCGATATCCTGCACAACGAAGGCTACCCGAAAAATCATTCAGCGGCAAGATCAAAGATAAGTGCATCTTTTCCAGATCAAACAAAAATAATGGTTCTGCTTCCTGGCTTTACATGCATGTACCGAATCTAATCCTAATGATAGTTTTAGTACACGGGGCTTTTAATTCCCGCCGCAGATTCAAATGCCTCTTTTGAAAGATTTAAAGCAATTCGTATGGATGGCTTAAGAATAACGACGAACATGGCCGGAGTATTAAATTTAATAAGGGAACACTTATGCTGCCTTATGAGGCCGTTTGTCAAAGAAATGTACTGTCTGTAAGGATGAACAGCTACAATGCCGACACTTAAGACGACGACGTTACTTGAAAAAGATTTTTCGCTCTTTAAAACTGCCTTATGTCTGTAAATTTCTGAATTGCTGAGAGCCATCTTTCAGGGCGTACACGACTTCCACAAAGCTACATATTTGATTATAGGTAGCGCTGGATGAACATTGTTTTAATAAAATTGTAATTGCTCCAACAGTTGTGCCAAAGAATCAAAATTTTGTTGGGATTGGAGAGGTTCTTCTATTTGCTAACTTTAATAATTCATTCTATCCTGGTTAAAGCCGCAAATACTGTATCCAGGATCCCAACGGCGTTAAGTAAAGGTAAAGAAAACGTCGGAAGGGTGTAGTCCTAATCGCGTCTGATTTCAAAGCCTCCTTAGCATCCCGCGTAATTTTTCTCAGGGGCCTTCTCTCGGCCGGGATATGGTTTCTGTTTTAATCATGGTTAATCATGCCGTGGAATCACTTCCACACTCCCCTACACTCTCCTACGCACTTCTATTGTGTAACTACTACCAGTTTTAAACCCTCCTTGATGGAAGCGTACGGAGCGTTGTAAGCTAAAAACACCTAAAAGCTTCCCTGTTTTTTTGGCTGTTGTTGAGCAAAGATTAAAATACTCAAACTTCAGAGCCAACAAGTCATGTGTTGACTTCCACGGACATGTGAATGAGCTTTTAAAAAGTTCAAATTTTGCGTGTTGCATGTCATCCTCGGATACTCAGTGGTTTTATGAGTGTTCATGTATTAGTTGGTACTGAAAACTTCCGTTGGTAAAGTGTCTTGAGGAAGGACGAAAAACCGTAGAACCCGTCTTGTGGCTCAGCGGTTCCACTGATTTGACTCTTGTAGAATGTGAAAGAGCTGAAACCGTAACAATATTTGGCAGTGAGCGCTCCAGGCAACATGTACGTGTAGCCAAGCTCTGTTGTGTTGACCTTGCCACGTGTAGCCTGTGAGCAAACTCTCCGGGGCGCTCTGGCGGCGGGACGGGAAAAGGACGAGAGCTTGCAACTACGCCTCTGGAATTTGAATTCCACCCTCAATTCCACCTCCAATTCCCTTGTGGTTCCCCGACTCCCCGTCAACTGAGCTGTCAGACTTCCGCCAATCAGCGCGAAGCGGAAACAAACATTGAAAAACACGTGTCAGGGGTAATGCTTCAGTATGGATGTCATCTCCCCCAATTAGCATTTCGCATCGACTTTTCCGATGCAGATAATCAAATTCCAGAGACGTAGTTGCAAGCTCTCCTTCCCTATCCCGCCCCGCCGCCAGAGCGCCCCCGAGAGCTTGCTCGCAGGCTACATCAATGTGGTTAAAGTGTTTTAAATCGAAACATATCTTTCGTTGTTTTACTTTTTGCGTTGGTGAAATCAATTTGTCTTTTTTTATGTGGAAAGAAAAACATTTCTTTGTTAATCCAAGCCAGTTTCTCACACCATTTAATCGGCAATTGTCTTGTCTATACGTCTTTAATTAAAGATCATCTTGTATTTAAGGTTGCGTCCTCTGTCGAAATTAAAATTTCTTCATTGCGTCGGCGTAATTTTAGGTATACAAAAGCCTTGTTTGCTCACCAGCTGGAAGTTTACTCACGCTCGGTTTTTCTGTAGTCCGCCGAAGAGCTTTGAGTTTCAACAATGATCTGAATAAAATTCTATTTAATCTTCATTTTACTTGCTTTGGGAAAAGTTATAATTTGCCGGGGAGTCCTTTTTAGTAGTTTAAAAGATAATAAACATATGTATCATATCTCCTAGTCAACCATAGCCTGTTCTAGGCGTTCAGATGGAGGGGACATCGAAAGGAGAAGTGACAAGTGATTTGAACGCCTCAGGCCAAGTCAACCACCTGGAATTCCTAGCTTTAACGGACAATATGAGTGGAAGGAAGTGAAAAGTGGTTTTGCATTTTTTATTTTTATTTTTAGAAAATATTTACTCAGTTTATTAAACCACTAGTATAGAATTAAAATGGAAAAAATTTTGGCCATTTTCGTGTGTTCAGACAAAGACAGGAATAAACTGAGGTTGAGCGAAACGTGAGGAACCTGTTACAATTAGTTTTTAATGAAAAGAATTAATAAATGGATTTGTTTTCCTCCTGCGTTGGTTGATAATTGTTGTTAAAACAATTTCTCGTTTTTTTGCACAAAAATGTCAGACTGGACTTGATTTTGGCCATGTATTGTAGAGTTTTTCATAGTATGCGGTGCCGGAATAGTTTTGGCCGAATAAGCCAGTATTTATACTGGTATACAATGAACGCCAAAAAAAGAACAAAATAAATACCTCCGATTTGCATAAACAGGCGTTTTTTCTCAGTTGTAAATTATGTAATAAGTAAGAAAAGGAAAATCTTTTCAGAGTGTTAGTCCGAAATTTCTGCGAGGCTGCTCGCCTAATCGCAGTCAGGAAGTAAAAGAAAGAACATGGCTTGTATGCATTGAACCAGGATTGTATAGAGAATTTTCCTTTTTCGCGTAAGCGCCAAAAGTCGACTCCAA